GGGGGGGGGGAATAGTGATTCACAGATGTTAAAGGGACAGACAGACAAACGTGAAGAAAAAGGTAAGGTGGAAAAGGTGGAATATGACTTATTTTTCAATATATTATCAGATTGGTTGATAATGTTCGTTTCTGTTTAAATATTCGTTGGGGTGCAGATTGTTTTCTAATTTTTAATGATCATATGTCCTCTGTCTGGTTTGGCTTTTATAATTAGGTTTATACTATGTGCCATAATAGTACTAACATTAATAATCTTAATTGACAATTCCTTGTTTTCTCAAAGAAGGTTTTACGCTTTCTAACTGTGTCTACTTCTCAAAACACATGTCGAGTGTTTCTCCTCACCCAATCCCGCCTAATCGTCTTGGATATTGATGTTGATTTTGAGTACACAGTAAGTTCGGACTCCTCTATGATCCTTTATAAAGCTGTTATCATCAAATCACTGTCATATATTTTCTTTAGCCTCTCTTGCGCTTGGACCTTAACAATAGCACCTACGGTGAAGCCGTAGATATAACCTTGATTTCAATGTCATCGCCATCTTACTTGTGGCTCCTATGCAAGTCTATGGAAGAGGAAGATTCTTTGTCGTTGATTTCACTAGATGTTGAATCTGTTTCCTCTGGAAACGAGGAGTCAATTTCGAGGGTCTCCATCGCTGTGGACACAAGCGTAACGGATTTCCAAGTTGTTTCTTCGATTCCTGGAGCCAGTGTCTATCCTTGTGCCCTTCTTGCCTTGTTTTCTAGAGAAGCTGGAGTTGTATACATTGCTGAAGGTTGGTATTTATGTAGACTTCTTTGTTTATTTTCACATTTTATTTTCTGGTCAAGAATGAGTTCTCTCAATGGATGTAGTTATTGATGTTGATTTAAGATTGACTAAATTTCTTGGGACAAATTGTTTAAGAAGCTTGGATTTCGTACAAATCTGCATCAGAAATCAACTCGTAGGTAGTGAATAAAAGTATGTAGACAACAAAATCAGTACCTTAGATCTCCTTCTACAGCAATTCATACGCTGCTCTAACGTCAATAGGACGGATTTTTTATTGCATCTGTTGATATTAATTTGACGCCATTTGTCATTAGTCTTCACTGCATTTATCGCTTTTATCACGCATGTTTACCACATATTTACTCCTCCTCCTCCTTTCTTCTACTTTCAGTATTAACTGGTCGTTGCATCTCGCAATTCGAGTTCGAGCAGCCCTCCCCCCTGTTGGGTTTAATCTCAGCACCGAGTGATAGCAGCGCTCTTTTCGCTCTACTGACTCGTCAACGTGGAATCTATGGGGTGGTCGGTGAAGATCCCTGCCTCCCCTCCCTCGCTTGCCTTCAATTTACTTCGAATTGTTTCTCCGATCCCGATCAACTGCTTAAAGCTCTTACAAAGATTGCTGCTGTTCTTTGGATGGGTTATGAAGACGAGGCAGGTGTGCTGATTAACGACCTATTTGCCCAGCCGAATAAGATCAAGAGTGGCGTCCTATTGACAGCTTTCTTACGCCTAGCAAAGTGCATTCTCAATTCTCGTCCAATCAGTAGTCTGGATGCTCGGTGGCGTGGGGTAGCTGGAAATAATGAGTAATTTGATATCTTCGCTTTCTCGCCATTGTAATTGCATTTGTTCACGTGTAGCCCAATTATTATTGTATGAATATAGCCATTGTCTTCGCGCCCCACTGCAGAACTGGATATAATTTTCAGATTAACTTGGCTAGCAAGTGAAGATTTCTTTGTTTTCAAGAAGACCCTTGTTTATGCTTGTCGTTAGCCAGCGGTTTAATCTTCCTATTCGCAAAATAAATTTTCACTTTTTATTAATGAAAGGCAACTGCCATTGAGTAACTGTAAATCCAATACAGAAGGGAAAGCAATGTCGTTTGATTTTTATGCTCCATTTTTACCCTTTTTTACTAAGTCACTAGTTCACTTCAAATTTCATGATTTTAGTGAAAATTGACTTTAAATAAATGTTTTTTTTTTCAGGGATCTTTGTAATTCACGTATTTCACGAACTGTTTATATTCCTTTAAAATTCAAAGAAAATTCACATTATTAACTTTTCCAAAGTCCACTGGAGTTGACCTTATTTCATCTTCTATCAGTTGTATCGTCATGGGAGCAAAGCAGTTAGTTCGTCATCAGCTTTATCTCTCACTTTATACCATCTTCGGCTCTATGGATTAACTAGTAATTTTGTATTGAACATTTCGAGGTTGATGAAACAATCACGCGCTCTATTAGGTGAACTGGTCATTTACTTCTACGTTCAGGGCGACCTATCGATTTATAAGGTGATTATCACCATCCCTCCTCGTTTTATCTCCTCTTTCAGTGTAATGTCCTTTGACTTTGCCCGAGGGCGTGGTGACTCCCGTTTTGTCGCCAAGCAGGAGGGAATGCAATGCCTGGGTGGTCGTCTCTGGCCCGCAATTGAGTCAGTCGCTCCGAAAATTAACGGAGCTCTCGATGCTGCCTCTCTCTTTGCAGAAGTCTTTCCTCCTCATCTCGCCCATATGGTGGAGGCAAGTGGCAGCCGGTGTCATGTGTTAAATGCATTCCTTGCGGGAGCTGAGGTCTGTGAAATCGCGAGGGTTTTGCATTCCCGTTGGTGTCGGTAAGTCTTGTTTTTATACTATACCATGCTATTATTTTATAGGCACCTTTGTGGTCATCGATTTTGGTTCTATCGGCTACTCCTTATCCACCCACAGTTTGATTAAGCAAATTTTAATTCGCTAATATAGATCAACGCTTTCCTATTGCATGACGTTTATTCACTCCTAGCTCCTATTGCTTATTTGAGTTATATTCGTTTCAATGAATGCTAAATATCGAATTTATCAAAGCATATTATCTCATAGCAACATTGGTGCTTGTAGTAAGAAGCTGTTCACTAATTCATGATTCCTCTTGCCGTCATATGTTGATCTTTTTTCAATGAAGGCTGGATATAGCAGTCATTTTCGATGATGCATCACCTTTTTAATTAAATCGTTCCATAAATGGGATCTTTTGAAAGAATAACTTGCATTACCTTTTCTTTAAAGGCGTTTTGCTTGGTGTAGTAGATATTAACAATCTATTAAATCACGCTTTTATTATTGGTCATTTTAGGCTGAAGCAGAATGATCTTTTGAAGCCTGTCTTCAAAGCTTCAGTGGAAGCAGCTATGCAAGCTGGGGTTATCGATAAAAATATTGCTGGAAGCAATCTTCTCTCCTCTGAGGATATCTTCTTCCAAACTGTACGTCAGGAAGTCGCTAATTACCTCCCTCTCCCCCCCCCC